GAAGTGGTTTGTTGAGCATATCAGCAATTTGATCATGTGTAGATACATACTGCATTTTGACAAAACCTTTTTTCACTAAATGTTTTATATTTTGATAACGAATGTCAATGTGTCTGGACCTAGAACCTGTAAAATGTGATTCAGAAATATAAACCACCGATTCATTGTCTTCCATCACGGTGATCGGTCGGATCGGGTGTGTCCAGATATCTGTGACTAAAGCATCAAACCAAGTTAGAGAATTACATGCATCTGAAACACAAGCATATTCAGCTTCAGTAGATGAACAAGAAACAAAATTCTGTTTACGTACTTGCCAATAAACAGGACATCCATTTAAGAACATCATATAACCTGAAGTACTTTTGCGTGATTTCTTATCACTTGCCCAATCAGAATCTGCATAACAACATAATTCTGCATAATCAGTATGTGTTGGTTCTAACAATAATTTCATGTGTTTAGTGTATTTTAGGTATCTCAATAATTTCTTAATACATGTCCAATGAAACTGTTTTGCCTTACCTACGTGTCGAGATAAAAGATTAACACTAAGTGCAATGTCGGGTCTGGTCCAACTACTAATGTACAATACTGACCCAATGACTGAACGATAAAGTGTTTGATCGTCGAACTCAGGACTTGCTTCTTGTGTCAAGTTATGAAAATCTGTTTGCATAGGTGTTTTTGTTGTGTTAGCATCTTTCATGTTGCAATGATGCAAAACTTGTTCAATTTTATCTTCTTGTGAAAGACTAAACCCCTTCTGTGTCTTTTCAATCTGAACACCTAAATAAGTGCTAATATGACCTAATGATTTCAATGCAAAGCTTCGGCAAAAATTTCATTCATTTGCTTATTTAGACCAATATAAACAATATCATCAACATAAACAAGAACTATCTTATATGCATTGTTAGATCTTTTTGTGAACACGCACTCATCAGTTTCGGACTTAATAAAGCCCATTGAATTTAGTTTGTCAGTAAGACATAAATACCACATTAAACCAGATTGTTTCAGACCATAAAGACTTTTGTTTAGGAACCAGGTATCCCCTTCTTGCTGTCGGAATCCTGGAGGACTTCTCACGTAGATCTCTTCATCTAGGTCTGCATGTAGATAAGCCGTGTCAACATCAAACTGGAAAACTTCTAAACCAAGGATAGTTGCAGTTGCTAAAGCAATTTTTACACTCTCAGTTCTGACTGTCGGTGAGTAAGTATTTGTGTAGTCCTCAGGATAACGTTGAGCGAAACCCTGAGCTACAAGTCTGGCCTTGTACAATGACTCACCATTTGGTTTCTTTTTGATTCTGTAGACCCATTGAGTGCCAATGACCTTTTTGTTTGCTGGAGGTTTTGCAGGTGTAAATACTTTAAGTTTCTTTAGACTGTCCATTTCAACCTGCATTGCATCATACCATTTGTCTTGCTCTGAATCAGGGAGCTGCTTGATTTGTGTGAAATTATCAGGTGGAAGTGTGACATTGCAAATCAAAGGCAAGGGTGCTTTTGTCAGTTGCCAAGAATATCGTTGTGGAGGGATCCCTTTTGTGGCCCTCTTGGAACGTCTCGGGACAACTGTCCAGTCTTCTTCTGCTTCGTCCTCGTCCTCACTTTCGTCGCTAGCGTCAGCATCCGCGGCTTGCGAAGACGGAACATCGGGTTGAGAAGAACCAGTGGAATCTTGATCATCAATCTGCGTGGCATCAGCAGTATCATCTCTGGGAAAATAAACTCCAGGATCATTGGAATGAATCCTGGACCAGTCAATATCTTCTTCAAAATTAGCAGATTGGGAAATTAAAATTGCATGTTTAGAGTCAATAAATCTGCTCCATTTTGAGTTATCATCAATACCCATAAATCTCAGTCTCTTTGCTGCTGGACTTCCTTTTCTTCTTTGAGCTAAGGGAATGTTCACCATAGCATATGAACCAAAAATATGGATGTTTTTAAGATCGGGCTTGTAGCCATACAACATGAAGAAAGGAGTCTGATTTGTTACACTGCTCCAAGTACGGTTAACAATGTAATTTGCATATTTTATAGCTTCACCCCAGTATATCTTACCAAGGTTGGCGTCTTCTAGGAGACAACGCATCATGGTTTGCAGTACCCCTTGTCTTCGTTCTGCGACTCCATTATGAGCTGGTGTGTAAGGGGCCGAAGTCTGATGAATAATTCTATTCTTACGCATCCAGTCCTGGAAACACTGAGACATGAACTCGGCACCACGATCACTCTGGATTCTGGCAATGCGAACTTGGTGTTGGGTAGAAACAAGGGTTGCAAAGTCTTTAAAGATCTGAAAAGTCTCTGATTTTTCTTTCATAGGATATACATATCCATATCTAGAGTAATTATCAACAATTGTTAGAAAATATTTTCTACCACCAAATGATGGTGGGAAAGGACCAACTATGTCAGTGTGAACCAAATCAAAAATGCGTGTTGACAGGCGTGTAGCGTGTTTGGGAATGGCTGCTGCTTTGGATTTGGCCTTTTTGCATACAGCACAATCCAAAAACATCTTACACCCCTTTAGATCCAAACCTTTTGCGAACTCCGGCATCTTCCTAAGAACACGGAAACTGGCATGCCCCAATCTTCTATGCCATTTATGGATACACCTAGAATGCAAAGGTTTACCAGTTAGTGAATTCTCAACATAACATTTTTATGCGGAACCTCAGGCTTGCTCTGAGCAACCTGTTTACCAATTCTATTTTTGTTGGCTTTAGGAGCCTTAGGAATAGCAACAGGATCTCTCTCTGGAACATCTCTCTCTGGGCCTGGGCCTTCCCTTTTTGGAGTTTGTATACTTGCCTGTGTTTGTGTTTTAGGCTTTGGCTTTAAGTAATAAACACCACCAATTAATATGGTTCCAGCAACAATATCTCCATCTTTAACTATGTAACTTGCATTTTCAAGGTGGTGAACCTGGAATTTTAATGCTCTAGACAAGTGACTCTGACTAAGCAAGTTACTGGTTGCTGCTGGTATGTAATAAACATCAGAAATGAATGCATCGCGCTCTTCAACATAAACAGTTCCTTTTCCTTTGACCTGACAAGGATGATTTGAAAAAGAATAAAGTTCACGTAGTTCTGGTTCAGGCTCGTGCATTTCTGTGAAAAGTTCCTTTCTGTAGGTAACATGCAATGCTGCACCACTGTCCAAAGTCCACAGGAGTCGTCTGTCGTACTCTGGTTGAGGTTGTGGATCATTGGTTAAAGCCAATGTGGTGAGTGGAGTTTGTGGATTACGTCGGGGACCACGACGACCTTGTCTTCCGCCTCTGCCTCTGCCTCTGGAATCTGTTCCTCTGGGCTGGTATGTGACGGGAGCTGGAACTCGTTGGGGACTATCCCGGGTGGCATGTCCCACACAATTGCAGGTGTAGCATCTTGGCATCCTTGGAGTGTAGGTCCTTCCTCGGAAGGGGCACCTAGCTGGAGCTCTTGATGCGGGTGGTCCTCTCAAATGTGGCGTGGCCAACATGAATGCCTCTTCTTCAATTAAAAGTCTACAGACATTGTCCACTGTGCGTTGAGCAATTGGGACTTGGTTAATTTTTGTAACAGCATCTTTCCATTCATAATTCAAAGAGTTAATGATGATGCTGATCATTTGAATATCTTCAATGTTATGGCCTCTTTCTCTCAGTTCTGTTCTCAGTCCTTTCAGTTTGGTCAAGTCCCCTCCAATTTGTTCACCAGGTTTCAATCTCAAACTGTGGAATTCAGACATGAGTAAACATGAAGATTCAATTGAGACAGGCCTGTAGCAATTTTCCAATTCAGCCCAAATTTGTCGGGCTGTTGTGTTTGGTGGAAAAGTGACCTGCAGTTCAGTATCCATGGACATCAATAATGTTGTACGAGCTCTTAACTCTAGATCTCGTATTGCAAAATCCCATGGTTGTGCAGGAGGATTAAAAACCATGGAGTGAGTGCCTTCTCTTAAGAAGCAATAGTCTAATCTCACTGACCCAGACTTTGTAATTGTGTCCTGACATTTTTAGTTTTGACTCACCAGTTAGTGGAGAGACAGAAAATGCCTGGTAAGGAGCCTGCATTTGATATGCTGGTTGTGCTGGCAGAAATGCCTGTGGTATTTGCTGTGCCTGTTGTGGACCTAAAAATGGTCTTGGTTGTGCCATTGGAGGGGGGCCAGGAGGTGGCCCTATTTGCACTTGTGGCTGGGGCACATATGCAGGCATTTGTAGCTGCTGTGGCTGATGCACTGGAATCTGCTGTATTCCAGTTGCCATTTGTGCTTGATCTGCAATATTGGCATGACCTGCTGGAGATGCAGTCATTTGCCTTTGCTTCATTAAGTTTAATTGTGTTCTATCTAAAAGGACACCAACACCACCAGGGGGTGTTTGAGTTTGGGCCTGTGGAAACACTTGTGGCATTTCAGCTTCCTGTAGTAAATTTCTTTCGCCAGCAGATGGTGCTGCACCTTTAGCTTCGGGCAGCCCAGTTACAAGGAATGATTGCGTGGCAGGTTTATATGTAACTTGATCAGGGAGACTTTCATGTGACGTATGCACTGCCCTCTGTCTTAATTGGCCTGACACAGGATCCACCAGGGGGAGTGTCTTTGGCTCCGAGGAAGAAGACAATATGGCGCTTTTTGAAAATCTTAAGTTATCTCCCTTATCTTGCTCAAGCATAGATATAGCCATTTTTGCCTGGGATAGCTCCTGTTCATAGAGTTTTATACGGTCACGATAGGCTTTCATAGCCAGCTCATCCAGGGTGAGCTTAGAGCTTCGAGGAGAATAATGAATTGTTTCTCTCTCTGCGTGGGAGTAATTTTGCTCGGCAGTTTGCTTTGGCCTTGCACCGAGCATTACAAATTCAGAAGGTTCTGGGGAGACAGGTTGAGAGCTGGCATAATTAGAAGGGGGAGTTACTGACCTCAGTCGTAGTGCTTCACCTTCAAAAACAGCTTCTGTCTTATCTCCCTCCATTTCTGTTCCCACAGCTTCTTGTTCCAGGCGTGTGGCTGAAGTAAGGGGCTGGAAATCGGAAAATCTCCTGTCTGCCACCTCTTCGTTGGAAAGATCAATCAAATCATTTAGGAAGAGTGGTCTTAGTTTCATTTTGCCTTTTTTCTTCTGTTTCGGCATTTTAGCAAAAATAATTAGCGTACCTCAGTAGCTAAAAACTAATTGCCTATGCGCTCTTATCAGAAATAACAAAACAAGGAAAAAAGCCATAAATCAACCGTCCGAGCTACCAGATGTCAGGGCGTTGATTAATCCCATGTTTGGCTCTGGTTTAGAGGATGGATCGAGGCTTATTCCTTGTTGCAATATTCTGAAAAAGAAACGCGAAGAAAAGTTTCTAATAAAACTCATTTATTTGTTATAAAGAAAATAAAACACCTCACTAACCAAGAAAAGTTAATTGCTACATTTTTGAAAATAGTTCTTGCCGGCTATTTCTCAGCCGGACCTTGCTGGCAAGAGAACAAAGGAAAGAGTGTGTGAAGCAAGTGAAGGAATGTGGGTGGATGCACATGCGTAGTAGCTTCTGATAACAATTCTTGGCAAGGTACAGAAAGTCAGATAGTCCAGAAATAATTGGCTCAGCTGGTAAATAAAATAACGCAGTGACACTGGGAAAGGTGATCTCCTGCATAGGCATCGTACCATGGGCCCGCCTCCACTGCAGGGTGCTGCAGTGGTTTCTTCTCCCATATCAGAGGACCCATCAGAGCACTACATCCCCCTTGGTCCGGATTCCCCTAGAGGTCTGACACTCCCTCAGATGGTGGGTCTCCCCCGCCTTGTCACAGGGTCGGGAGTTCAGGGAACCCTATCGCTTAGTTCTGACGATGGACGCCAGCCTTCACGGCTGGTGAACTCACCTCGATTCATGCATGGCCCAGGATCAGTGGACTCCAGAGGACCTGACCCACAACATCAATTGGTTGGAGCTCCGGGCAATCCACCTAGCCCTGCAATCATTTCAGATGGTGGTCGAAGACCGAGACATTTTGATTGTGACAGGTAATGTGGCTGCCAAGTGAACCGCCTTGGAGGGACCCATTCCTGGCACCTCATGCAGGAAGCCATTCAGTTGGGCCTCTGGGCAGAGACTCATCTAAGATCCATTCAGGCCTCTCATATATCAGGGTTGGTGAACATGCAGGCGGACCCGCTCAGCAGAGCTTCAGTTGACCACGGGGAGTGGTGCCTGCACCCGGACCTGTTCAGGGACCTCACGGTCTGATTTGGGGTTCTGACAGTTGACTTGTTCACCACCCGCGACAATCGCCAGGTGGAGAGATTGTTTGCCAGATATCCAATGCCAGGAGTGGAAGGCATGGACGCCCTGCGCAGCCCATGGCCTCCAGGTGTGCTTTACGCCTTTCCCCCTCTCCCCAAGGTCATCAGGAAGATGCTGGAGAAGGGGGCAGAGCTACTGCTGCTGGCTCCTCATTGGCCCCGGCGCCCCTGGTTCACGGACCTGGTGGCCCTTTCTGTGGCCCAGCCTTGGAGATTCCCTCAGGCCAGGATATCGCTCAGCCAGGGGCAGTTGGTCCACCCGGACTCTTGGTGGTTCCAACTGACCGCCTGGCACTTGAGCGGTATCTCCTGAGGAAGGACCAGCTATCCTCCAGCGTGATTGACTTCATTCAGGCCTCGCCTCGCGATAGGATTCCATCAACCGGATCTATGTCACTACCTGGCGGGCTTTCAGCAATTGGTGCTCCAAAATGGCTCTGGAGCCTAGGGAGGTGTCCACGGTGAACATCCTGGAATTTCTGCAGGACAACCTAGAGGAGGGATTGGCGCCTAACACTCTTTGGAGACAGGTAGCTGCCCTTTCTTCCATTCTGTGGTGCGGGTCCAGGAGTTCCCTCTCACACCTTCCTTTGATTCGACAATTCCTTCGGGGGCAGCTAATCTTCGTCCCCCTGTTATCCATTGGTTTCCCACTTGGGACTTCACATGGGTCTTGAATGCCCTCACCAGAGGTCCCTTTGAACCGTTGAGGGAGGCCAGTCTTAAGTTTTTCTTCTACAAGATGGCCTTCCTGGTGGTCGTAACCTCGGCTCGCCGCATTTCCGAGTTGGCGGCTCTCTTGGTGACCTGTGTCTTCCATTCCGACAGGGTTGTTCTACGACTGGACCCTACCTTCATTCCGAAGGTTAATACCACGTTCCATAGATCTCAGGAATTGATTCTACCCAATTTCTGTCCTGAACCAGTACACCGGCTGGAACGCTTGTGGCATACCTTAGATGTCTGGAGAGCTCTCCGTGTATATATTAAACGGACCTCCTCCTCCTTTCAACCTGCCACCTTGGGTCATAAGGTTACATCCTCCACTCTAGGTCTCTGGCCCTGGGCTTGTATTGCTAAAGCCTACAAGGCCCAGGCATTGCCCGCCCCTTGGCGTATCACTGCCCACTCCACCAGGAGTGCAGCCACCTCGGCGTCTTGGGCTACCCAGGCCTCCCTGGGGGACATCTGTAGGGCTCCCACCTGGACGTCCCCTTCCCCATTTGTCTGCCATTATAAATTAGATGATGTTCTGTCCCCGTCCCCCCCCCCACACAAACAGCCAGCCAGGGGTTAAAGAAGTACTCGGCACACACAAGGTTCATTATCAGGAACTTGGCAGCAATACGATAACCGTCTGCCAAGTGCTTTACTACAAGAAGAGGGAGTGTTCCTCCACCAGATAACACCAACGAATACACACAGTTTTCAAAGCAGTCCAGCTCAAACATGAAACCTTCAGCAGATTTGGCGTTGTACAAAGTGACTAGCCAGAAGTTAGCTTTGTCCATCACAGAGTCTAAATGGCCACCACACTCTCTTATATAGCCTGTGGGGTGTGGTCCAGTGACTCAGCTTAATCCCTGGCACGCCTCCTCATCTGCTGCAAATGTTTATCTTGCCTTCGTTGGCGTGGATCCAGGAACGACTTATCACTCTCATTGCTGTCATCGGAGACACCTGGCTCCTGGTCAATCTCCTCTCCCTCGGCAGACACCTGAGGCATTGCCAGAGAGGAGGGGCCTGGAGAGGGAGGCCTGGCCGGCTCCTCTCCTTCATGTTCGGAGCCTTCTTCCTCCGATAAGATAGGCTCGGAGGATGGAGCCACAACACTATCCCCCACCGCAGGGCCCTTCCCCCGGGTCTGACGGTCGGGATGTGGTCAGGACGGGAACTGGTCGTGAAAGGCCCGTACCAGGTCAGGGGCCTGAACGGAAGAAGCGTCCACCCAGCTGAAATCCTCGGGCCTGTACCCCTTCCAGGCAATGAGGTATTGGAAGCGCCCCTTCAGCCAACGGGAGTCCCGGATGCTGTCCACCTCGTACGTCGAGGTGTCGTCCTCGTCGGCTGCGGCTGGGGGGGGCAGGCATTGTCGGGCGTCGGAGATGGCTCGTTGGGGCTTCAGGGACCAGGAGGGACCGATGGAAAACAGGGTGGAGTCGCATGGAGCGTGGCAGAGTCAACCGGTAGGCCACCGGGTTGATGACTGCCTCGACCGGGAAGGGACCAATAAAACGGTGGTTGAGCTTCTTTACCGGTCGGTCCGTCGGGAGGTGTTTCGTGGACAGCCATATCCGGTCTCCCACTACCAGCGGTGGCATCGCCCGTCGAGAACGGTTGGCGACCCGCTTGTAGTCCTCCTTTGCCCGGGTCAGCTGCCGCCACACCAGCTGCTGCACTGCTTGCAGTTCCGAGAGGAAGTCCTGGGTTTTGGGAACAGGAGAGTCCGAGATGGCCAGTGGGAAAAACCGTGGGTGGTATCCCGCGTTGGCATGGAATGGGGTCATCTGGATGGAGGTGTGTTGGGAGTTGTTAAAGGCGAACTCCGCCAGGGGAAGGTACTCGGCCCAGTTGTCCTGCTGCTGGTTGACGAAACAGCGGAGGTACTGTTCGAGGATGCCGATGACCTTCTCCATTCCCCCGTCAGTCTCCGGATGGTGTGACGATGACAGGCACACCTGCACCTCAAACGCGGCCATCAGGCTTTTCCAGAAGCGGGCCATGAATTGGGCCCCGCAGTCCGAAACCACCCGGTCCGGCAGGCCGTGGAGGCGGAAGATGTGTTGCAGGAACAGGCGTGCTGTGTTGTGGGCTGATGGCAGTCCACGGCACAGGATAAAATGTGCCATCTTTGTGAGCGCATCCACCACCACGAGGACGGTCGTGAATGTAGCGGACAGTGGCAGGTCCGTCAGGAAGTCCATGGAGATGGCTCCCCACGGTCTCTCCAGTGTCGGCAGCGGCTGGAGGAGTCCAGGAGGTGGGCTGGATGCGGCTTTGGCCTGTCGGCACGTCACACAGGATGTCACGTACGCGTGCACGCCGTGCCGTACCTGAAGCCACCAAAAAGTCCAAGTCACCAGTTTCAGCGTCTTAAAGAACCCGAAATGCGCCGCGGGGTTGTCATGGCACTGGTTCATGACAAGGGCTCGGAGCGGACTCGTGGGCACGTACAACCAGTCCCGGTGCTTCAACAAGCCCTCCTCCAAAGTCCATGGGGATGCGGGGCCGACTTCCGCTTTCCGCTGCTGCGACCAGTCATCCTGACGCTGCGCTTCTAGCACCTGAGCCCGCAAGTCCATCGGTTCTTGGACCGTGGCCAAGGATTTCGCTGGCAGCACCGTCCGTGGGGAAGGGAGTCCTTAGGGCAAAAGTACTCCGGCTTGCGGGATAGAGCATCTGCTCTCTGGTTGTGGCCGCTCGGGATATAAGTCATTTGGAAGTTGAACCGGGCGAAAAACAACGACCACCGGATCTGCCGCTGGTTCAACTTCCTGGCCGTGGTGAGGTGCTCCTGGTTCCGATGGTCCGTCCGCACCTCCACCTAGTGTCGGGCCCTCTCGAGGTGATGCCGCCAAGCCTCGAACGCGGCCTTGATAGCCAGCAACTCTTTTTCCCAGATGGTGTAATTGCGCTCAGAAGGATTGAGTTTCCGGGAGTAATAAGCGCAGGGAAAAAGAGTGCCGCCATCCACCGGGGCCTGTAGCAGCACCACCCCAATCGCCACATTGGACGCATCTGTCTCGACTATGAACGGACGATGTGGGTTGGGGTGCCTCAGGACAGGTTCCGTGATGAAGGCCTGTTTCAGGACCTCAAAGGCCTGTTGCTGCGGGGGACCCCACTGGAACGGAACCTTCTTCCGAAGGAGCTCGGTCAGCGGCAAGGTCAGGGTGGCGAAGCCCGGGATGAAAGTTCGGTAGTAGTTGGTGAAACCCAGCAGATGCTGGATGTCCTTCACCCGACGAGGGGGTTCCCAACTACGCAAGGCCTCTACCTTGCGCGGGTCCATGGCGATGCCTTTGGGGGAGATGATGTGCCCTAGGAACTCTATGGAAGTCTGGAAGAAGAAACATTTCTCCAACTTCGCATAGAGTTGGTGCTCCCGCAGGTGCTGTAGGACCTGGCGGACATGCTGGAGGTGGCTTTACTGGGTCTGGGAATAGATCAAAATGTCATCCAGGTATATAACCACAAACTGGTCCAACATGTCCCGGAAAATGTCGTTCATTAGATGCTGGAAAACTGCGGGGGCGTTGGTCAGCCCGAATGGCATGACGGTGTACTCGAAGTGGCCGTATCGGGTGCCAAACGCCGTCTTCCACTCGTCCCTCTCTCGCACGCGCACCAGATTGTAGGCCCCTCGGAGATCAAGCTTAGTGAAGATCGAGGCCTCCCGCAACCTCTCCATCAGCTCCGAGATGAGCGGCAGGGTTTAACGATTCCGCACGGTGATTGCGTTTAACCGCCGGTAGTCACAGCACAGGCGTAAGTCCCCCGTCTTCTTCAGAAAGAGGACCGGGGCTGAGAGAGGGGAGGACGAAGGCCGGATGAACCCTCGAGCAAGTTTTTGTCCAGGAAGTCCCGTAGGGCGGCCAACTCGGGCTCCGACATGGAATACAGGCATCCCACGGGCAGTGGCGCATTGGGGATCAGGTCCACCGGGCAGTCATAGGGTCGATGCGGGGGTAAGCGGTCCGCCTCCTTTTCGCTGAACACGTCGGCGAAGGGCGTCAGCTCAGGAGGCAAAGAGACAGCAGGGGTGGAGACATCCTGGCCAGCACAGGTGTGGCAGTTGTGATCGACACACTGCAGGCTCGGGAAGGAGATGGCATTCCTTGACCAGGCCACCTGCGGATCGTGGGCCCGAAGCCAGGCCATCTCCAAGACCAGCGGGAAATGCAGGTCCGCCGTCACATAAAATTGGATCGCTTCCTCGTGGGCCCCAATGGTGAGGCGCAAAGGCTGAGTCACGAACTTAATGGGCCTCGCTACAAGTTCCCGCCCATCAATAGTCTCGACCCTCAATGGAGGGTCCACTGGAACCATGGGAACCTTAAAATGGGCCACAAAGGCCTGGTCCATGAAGTTTGTCGTGGCCCCCGAGTCCACCAGCGCATGCGCTTGAAGCCCCTCCGACCGGTTGGCCAACAAAACCCGGGTGTCCAGAATCAGGTGCCGAGGGGGCTCACAGTCCACAGCCGCCGACTCCGGCGGGGCATGGCTACGTGCCTGACCCAGGGTTTCCCCTAGGCCAGACCTGCCCCGTTTCCCGGCTGGTCACGCCAAGATTCCGGAACAGGCTTGAGCGCCCCACTGCTCTTCCTGGGGCAGGAGGCGGCAAAATGTCCAGCCTCCCCGCAATAGAGGCACAATCCCCCTTGGCATCTCCGCATTCGCTCCTGGGCTGTCAGGCGTGGTTGAGCCACTCCCAGCTCCATGGGCTCCTCCGCGGTTGCCACGAAACGCGGGGTCACCCGGGACGCTGTCGGTGCAGGACGCAGGGATGCAGAAACGGTCGGGGTTTCCTGGATGGGCCGGTGGGTCTTGCGCCGTTGGAAGCGGGCGTCGATGCGCAAACACTGTGTTACGAGGGCGTTGAGGGTCTGAGGCGCCTCCACCTGCACCAGCTCGTCCTGCAGGTCGTCGGAGAGGCCATCCTGGAAAGCGTCCCTTAACGCTGCATCGTTCCAGTCAGAGTCCTGGCCCAGAAGCCGAAATTCAGCCACATATTCCTGCAGGGGCGCTTCCCTTGACAGAGGTCCTTGAGGCGCCTGGCTGCAGTCTGAGTCTTCAGGGGGTCCTCGTACATCACCCTCAGATGTTGCCAAAAGCCCTGATAATCTGCCAACAAGGGGCTATTCTGCAGCAATAGGGGTATGGCCCATCGGGCGGCATTGCCAGAGAGGAGGTTAATTACGAATGCCACCTGAGCTCGGTCGTCCGGAAAGTCCTCTGGCCTCATAGCCATAAACAATTGGCATTGTCCCATGAAGGCCGGGAACATCTCCTGCTGCCCAGAGAACTTATCTGGCACATTGATAGGGCATTTCTGACGGGGAGGAGGAGGAGGTGGAGGGACAGCTGCAGGTGCATTTCCCAAAGCCAGCTGCGCAATTAGCTGGCTGACTTGCTGCTGCAGGAGCTGGTTGGCATCTTGCAGCTGCTGTAACTGCTGCTGCAGCTGTTGGTCCATCATGGTTAAACAATGGTTTACATTTCAGGTGACGGACAAGATGTTCTGTCCCCGTCCCCACACACACACAAACAGCCAGCCAGGGGTTAAAGAAGTACTCGGCACACACAAGGTTCGTTATCAGGAACTTGGCAGCAATACGATAACCGTCTGCCAAGTGCTTTACTACAAGAAGAGGGAGTGTTCCTCCACCAGATAACACCAACGAATACAGTGTTCAAAACAGTCCAGCTCAAACATGAAACCTTCAGCAGATTTGGCGTTGTACAAAGTGACTAGCCAGAAGTTAGCTTTGTCCATCACAGATTCTAAATGGCCACCACACTCTCTTATATAGCCTGTGGGGTGTGGTCCAGTGACTCAGCTTAATCCCTGGCACGCCTCCTCATCTGCTGCAAATGTTTATCTCGCCTTCGTTGGCGTGGATCCAGGAACGACTTATCACCCTCATCGCTGTCATCGGAGACACCTGGCTCCTGGTCAATCTCCTCTCCCTCGGCAGACACCTGAGGCATTGCCAGAGAGGAGGGGCCTGGAGAGGGAGGCCTGGCCGGCTCCTCTCCTTCATGTTCGGAGCCTTCTTCCTCCGATAAGATAGGCTCGGAGGATGGAGCCACAACAGATATGTATGTATCAGCGGATGTAGCCTTTGGGTGCAGGGTGCTTCAACAGGTTCACACTGACCGGGGGACACCGGGCCGGTTGGCTCCTCCCCCAGTAGGATATCGGCTTTGATATGTCCCATACCTGGCTGCCGGTCCCACTCTTCTGGAGAATGGGCATTGGTCCTACTTGAATGCCCTTTCTGTGCATTGTGGGCCCGGCAGCCAGCGCCAACCTTGGCCTCCTGGGTCTGGTGTGGGTGGCTTCTTGGGGGCGGTGTTTCCCTTCCTGTGGTGGGGGCATAACCTTGTCTTTGCAGCTCAGCATGACAGTCTGCAGCATCATCCTCGTCGGAAAGCTGGGAAGCAAGAGGAAGAGGAGTGCTTAATAACTTGCAGACTCGGTCCTGTTGGATATCAGACTGAGTTAACCCATGCCTGGCTGCCAGTTCCACAATGCAGAGAAAGGGCATTCAGGTAGGACCAATGCCCAATCTTAGTAAATTGCATCAGTTGCTTTACCCTGGTCAAGATGTGTGGTCCAAATGTTTCTGCAGTGTAGAAGTTGCAGATTGCAGGACAAATTTTTCCTGAAACCAAACTGCTTGTTGGAAAGCAAGTTGTTTATTTCTAAGTGGAGGGTAATGGATTGATTTATAATTGATTCCATGACTTTACAGGTGACGCAACAGAGTAAGATCGGTCTGTTATTTTCCACTAGACTAGGGTCTCCCTTTTTAAAAATAGGTATGACCGTGGCTAATGACCATAAATCGGGCAAGGAGCTGGTTCTAAAAGATACCACATAGATTGTACATAGAGGTTCAGCTAGGGCAGTGGCGAGCTTTTTCAGGAAGTAGGCACATAAGCCATCAGGGCCAGTGGATAGAGATGGCTTTAGGTTACGTAGTGCCATTTCAACAATATCTACTGTAAGATCAATATGTAGTAAATCATTACAATTTGTTAGGATACGACTAGGAAATGGGGGGTCAGTCAACAAAGACTGAGCTGAAGAACGTATTTAAAAGGTTGGCCTTAACAGCTTCATCATTACAGTCTTCCCCGTTAGGCCCTTTTAGGAGTGGGATAGTTTTCGAGTCTTTAAGATTGGTGTTTATGAAATTATAGAAGGCTGTGACGGAGTTTAACAACTCTTCCTCCTGATTGCAATGGTAACTGATTCTGCCTTTATCGGGTGGCATAAGGCTTTGTAGTGGTTTGTAAAATTACCAGGTTTTTTGGACTATAAGATGCACCACTGTACAAGATGCACCAAGATTTCGAAGAGATACGAAAGAAAAAAGGTTTTTGCCCTCCCTGGCCCCCAGGAGCACTCTGCAGACCTCCCAAACCCTCTGTGCGCCCTGATTTTGCGAACAACGGGCCCATTTTTCGCAAAAATGGGATGAGCGGGGCAGGGCTTCGGGAGACCAAAAATGGCTATATTTGGTGTATAAGACGCACCAACATTTCCACCCTCTTTTAGGAGGGAAAAAAGTGTGTCTTCTTATACTCCGAATAATACAGTAGCTATGTAGCCAGTTTTGTTTTCTCGCCAAAGAGATTTTTTTTTTATTGTAACTTTCTTATTGATATGGGTAATTTTTTTTTTTTTTTTGGCTTTAGGGGTTATTTTTGGTACATATAGGTTAATGACTCTATTAACTTCGAGCAAAAAAATGTTATAATGGTCTTCTGCAGTATTGCAACCTGTGAACAAAAGGTGCCAACCAAGAGATGAGGCAGCTATGAAATTGTAGTTGGCTTTTTTAAAATTATAATTTGGAGTCCCATCATTATGACCCTCTTTGCAAGGACACAAGTTGAGACAAAAATAAACCATACTGTGATCACTGTTGGAAAAAGATTCTTTAACTTGTAGGCCATAAATTGAGTTTAAGCTATTGCAGAAGATGAGATCTAAGCAATTGTTGAACCTAGTGTTGTTCGTTACCAACTGCTCCAGCCCCAGCATCGTAACAGCATGGTACAGGGTTGCATGTATAGGTTCGGTTGTACATTCGTTTAAGGTCCAATTAATAAGAGGCAGATTGAGGTCACCAAGAAAGATAAAGGGAAGCTGCCCATGTTAGTAGTGCAATTAACTTGTTCGTATGACCAAGGTTGTAATCGGGCTCTATAACATAGCAAGAAACGAACGTATTTAAAGACAGTTCACAAACAGTGGTCTCAGGAAGAGCAAGCTCCTGTGTAACATAAATCTTTTTCAGACCAAGGGACTTTTTATAGAAGATAAAAACACCATCCCCTCTACGGTTTTCACGATCAGACTGGAAAACGTGATAGTCACTTATAACGGAGTCTGGAAAGGATACATTCAACCATGTCTTGCAGACAAAAATAAGGTCAAATAGGGCCGCGTTTAAGAGGAGGAGGAATTCGGGCGTCCTGTTTACGAGGCTTCTTGTGTTAAGTAACTTGCATTTTAGACCTGTAGTGGTGGACCTGGAAGAAGTTGGAAGTGTGCATGCCTAATTTAAGTTGTTGGGAGGGCAGTTGTTGAGACGCAGGCCACTGGTCCTGCATTTAATGCAGTCTATGTACAGATCAGTCTCTCCTTGATCCTGGTGTCTCTTGAGCTCCGAACGAAGCTCGCGGGTGCCAGCACTTTGTACTATGGACAGGTTGGGCCGTGAATTAAGTTTCCTATTATTTGTGCAGCTTTTGGCGAGTGAGTTTATTGTGGAGATGAATTTGCGTTTGCTAGTTTCACTCTTGCAAATGACTCTGCAGAAGTGTGGGGCGGCTGAGTCATCACTGTTCTTGAATTCAGGGCCATCATGGGAAATGTCGATGATTTCATCGGGAATGATGGTTGATGCCTGGAAGTTGTTGATGATGTCACGGATCTTTGTGATGTCATCGGATTCGTTGATCCAAATAAGTTGGTCCAGTCCAAATAAGATTGTGTTGGGACACTTCTGTTCACATTCAATCACGTCTTTGACAAGGATGGAGATGTTACAGGATTAGCAGTTATCTGCGGCTGCGGTAGTTGGGTTGGGATAGGATTTCAGAATATTAGTGCTTTGCTTTTCTGCGTTTTTTCTTTTTCTTCAAGGGATACTAATCGCACTTCTATGGTGTCCACCCGTTCAAGTAGAACAATAAATTTGTCCAGTCTGGGCTTACATGATGGGCAGAATAGTGGAAACTAATTTTTGTAACAATGGGGAAAGAATCACCAGGATAATGAAGAATGAAGACAACAATAGGCAACATGGGAGCTAGCTTTTTGCTTTGTCTGAAAGTATAATAATATGGCAATCAGGTTTCACCACAAGAAGTTGCAAATGTGCCTCAAAAATATTTCTTGTGGGTTATGTTCTTGTGTGAATAACATTTGGATAAAAAAGAGAGTGCCAGTAGGAAAACCAGATGCATATTCCTATAGTTATCAAACCAGATAAAAGAGAGAATCATAATGTAGTCTCTTAAGGACCTGGCCCATAATCTTACCTTTTATCATGAAGATGAGTCTTCTTATGGAGTTATAACTCAGTAGAAAAATTGCCCACAAAGCCTTGAGTTTAACTGTGGTCTCCTAGATATAAAGATTGAAAAGAAGTACCGTATATTAGAATACAATACAGTAGATAATGAAAATGGTATGTGGATCAACAGTGTGAACCATCTCAGTTGGCACATTCTAAAAAAAGGAACTCCTGGTCCAATTAATTCAGCAAGAGTAAAACTTTATTGAAATCTAGGTACAGCAGAAGCAAAGTCAGTTCTGAGGTTTTCCCACGAAAACCTGCATAGGTAAAACCAGTTACAGACAGTGCTTTTGTTTTGGGAAAACAGTCTGTGCTGTTTGAACAGACTGGAACCTGTCCTTGATGGGTATCTCTTCTCAGGCAGCAGAAGGTGCTCATACATTCGTTAGACCTCCCCCCTCCCTAGGAATTTACCCCATTTCTGTTTGGCAAACTGTGAGCTGAAATCAGGTACAAGCAACAGTGAAGCCAAGTCAGTTTTGACAAACAGCTTCATTCAGTTGCCAGATTTGTGCATGTCTTATTTGATCCTGTTTCTTTTTGTTGCATTTCATGGTGCAGGTATGTATTCATACATAAAAAAATACTTTAATGATTAAGGCAATTGTCAGTTTCTGTTAATTATTTTTCAGGTATGCCTTTGTATCCACCATATCGAGACAATTTCTTTGGTTAAGTATTTAAATCAGATTTTTGTGGGATTTAAATCAGAAATTTAAAATTGCTATTTAAAAGCATCCATCCTGAGTAGAAAATCCAATAGGTCCTTCCTCTGTCTAATTAATACAGGACACAGAGTCAGTGGATTGTGGTCCCTGATTGTTCAGAGCTGCCTGTCTTCTGATTTGCAAGAGCTGTCATCATCTCACAGTAAGGATTTCTTCACTTCACTCCCATCCTAGGACTTCTTACAGGTAGTCCTTGACTTACCACCACAATTGAGACCAAAATTTATGTTGCTAAGTGAGTTTTGCCCCATTTTATCACCTTTCTTGCCACAGTTGTTAAGATAGTAACATGGTTAATTGAATCTGGCTTCCCCATTGTCTTTGCTTGTCAGAAGGTCGCAGAGGGGGATGACATGACCCTGGGACATTGCAATTGTCAGAAATATTAGTCAGTTGACAAGTGTCTAAATTTTGATCATGTGACCATGGGGGTGCTGCAATGGTCATAAGTGTGAAAAGTAATCATAAGTCCTTCATTTCAATGCTGTTGTAACTTTGAACAGTTACTAAATGAACTCTTGTAGGTCAAGGACTACCTGTATTTTGATTCATAATTTGTTAGTGAGAAATGCCTAAAACAGGTCCTCCATCATTAGGGATGTATAAAAAAGGAATTCATCAAGTGCTTATGCAGTTTAAAATTAATTAATGATTTGCTCTTTATTTACTAAAAAATTCTTTACATGTTATTGAATGAGGTATCTGATTCTGTTCTATAACTGGCAAAATAAATTCTCCTTTAAAGAAACTGGAAGCTAATGTCATAGAAATATGTGCAAAAGTGTTTGTGAGTCTTCAGAAATTCTTTTAATCTATACTTCCATTTTTTAAATCTAGGGCAGGGGTCTGCAACCTTAAACACTCAGAGTCATTTGGACCCATTTCCCACAGAAAAGAAAACACCGGGAGCCACAAAACCCTTCCCGTGCCTGACTATTTCTTGAGCGGCCACAAAACTAGCATATGTAGTTGAATTAAATGTTTTGTTTTCTTCAGAAACTTAACTTTTCTTGGATTTATCCATGGTTGGCCTATCGGGGGTTGAAAAGTTCAATGAATTGCATGCCGGCAGGTGTCACACATTGGCAGTTGTGATGCATATTTGAGTGACAGGGAGCCGCAGCAGAGGGGTGAAAGAGCCACATGCGGCTCCAGAGCCGCAGGTTGCTGACCCCTGCTCTAGGGAGAGGAAGAATTGCCTCTTATAATTCTTGAAGTAATAGATTGTTTCACAATGATAAATCTATAGAATGTTCAAGAAAAATATAAATAACTTCGTGCAAAGATTAGAAGAATGTGTAGTTAAAAACTAGCAAACTCTTAATATTGCAATACATGCATGAACTTTATAAAGACCAGATAGAACCTCAATTAATGTCAGGAGATTAGTATATATTAATGTAGTATGAATAAATATTTCAATTCAGATAGTCTTGTTATTCTGCTTTCAAGCTTTTTCGTGTCTACTCCCAATTGATTTAGCAAAATTGTTTATCTAGTTCTCTCAAATTAAACTGTTTTCATTTTCAAATTTGTACCTTTGGAGCCAATTCCTATTTTTGAGATAGGGAACACAACAAATCACATACAGATAGTTGTATATACATATAAAATGTGTATTAACTATGCTTAACCTATTAGCATAGTCTCATTAGATGAAATCCGTATTGGCTATTAGAGAAAACATTTTTCTAAAATGTTTACTTTTGATCAAAATGTATAAAATAATAACCCAGGTCTTTGACTGAGAAATCACTAAAGCCTTCCCAGCAATAGTATTGTTTATTGTATGCCCTGATTTTCTATTTAGGGAGTACTCAAGGTGCTATTATCCTATGGTGATTCTGCTGTTAGACAAATAAAAACATGCAAAGAAAATGCTGAATCCTGCAATTCTACAATAAGTTACAAATATGCAACATATATCTAGTTCCCCATGAAGCATTAATTTAGCCACAGGTAGAAAGATAATATAAAAAAAAGACACTGAAATGCTTACTTTTCTAGAAACTCCAAATACTAGTTTCTGTGATTTGTAGGATCAAAAAAGAGTCAAAGTCTGTTTGTATGAATATATGAGTGCATGCAGCTTTCAGATGTTTAAAGTAATAATTCATCTATAGAACGGAGGTGGTAATGAACAATGCAAAATTATATATGCAGCAAGTATGATAACATCCAGTTGTGGTTATCATATTTGTCTGAGAAAGATTCAGAAGGCCCAGAATTCTTTGAAAGTAGTTTTGGTTTTATGTTGCAAGGTAGATTTATTTCTGTATCCAGCTCTTTACTCAGGCTTTGTTTTTCCTGAATTGTTCCTTCATTCAGTATAATATCTCTATGTGGAAAGAACTTGCACCCTTTTGTACAATTAAGGTGAAATAAATAGAACAGATTAGACATTGTTAAATTTAAATACTGCAAAAATCAACATCTCCAGTTTAAGAAAGTTAAAATATAAAATGCATGAATTCTTGGGAGTGCTTGGAGCCTTTGGCTGGATCCACATATTGCATTTAAGACTTAATCTGCTTTGTGTGTTTTTGATTTAGTGTGCTGTATGAAGCTTGTAACTGAGTGTTTTAAACCGTATCTTATGGTTTACTTTCCTATAAACCTCTATCACTATCACTTAATTTAATTAGCCATGGTTAAAAAGAATCCTGTAAAATGTGTGCTATATTTTCCTGTGCATACTTACCTGCCTTTTGCCACTTGATCACTGATAATAAGGCTTATTTTAATTGGCAATTTATTTTCAGATGAAAAGAATGAAAAACACTGCACTTCTGTGTTTCATACATCTATGAACAAATTACAATGCTGCATGATGAACTTGTAAAGAATGTTGTATAGAATATCCAGTGGAGGAGGATATTAAACTACCCTGGTAATATCATATTGCTTATCAGTGGTCCTTTGAAAGCATTAATCATACCCGAATAGGACAGAATAAGATGAAGTTCCACAATGTTCACTGATTGCAACAAATAACTTGGTATATCCCTTATTCTTGAGCTCCTCTTCTTGAGCTGAGGCATAGTTGTCCTATGTACTAAACATTTTGCCCTTGAAAATGCAAATAATCTAAATGGAAAACATTTTGTAATTTTGATGTTTACAACTCAGTGGATACCTATTTAGTGAATGAAAAGAAGCATAGAAGAGAAGTCCTTGTCAAAGACAGAGACCATGCCCTTCCCCACTTCTCTGTCACAGAGTAAAGCTATTTTAATCTCAATCTTAGGGGTAATAAATGCAACAAAAATTAACTACTTCTTGTCTTTATTATGTAATCTCTTTCTTTTCCAACACCCCCCCCTCCAAAAATCTGGTTTGCAAGACCAAACCGAAGCACAACCAGATGCCTTTGGAATCTCAAAAGTAGGGCATCAAGATATTCAGAACATCTGCTCTTCAGAGGTCTACTGCCTCTGTATATGATTATATGTCTACACATGATTTCTAAAGGGTAATTTTCTGAATAAACAGCCCTTTTATCTTTAAAGTATACTAGATTTGTCCAACTGGTGACACTCAGATGCTTGAACTCACACTTAGGATCATACTTCAGTGTTGACCGTCCAAACATTTAGCAGGAAAACATTGTACGAGGGGTTAGATAACTAGTATGTTAAGCGAAAATGCAAACAATTGAATACACTTAATTACCTTATCTGTGACTCACAGATTACCCATTTCGGTATCTTATATATTTGGCAATTTGACTTTTTTTAAAAAAATATATTGGAGTGCAGGCTCATTCATAAAAAGAAGAGGGACACCACTCTCAAAAAGAAGTTAGAGTTTTGCCAGTAAATCTAGTACCGTGTTTCCCTGAAAATAAGACCCTGTCTTATATTTTTTAAAACCTTGAAATAAGCACTTGGCCTTATTGCCATGCGCTCAAAAGCCCAATTGGGCTTATTATCAGGGGATGTCTTATTTTGGGGGAAACAGGGTACATTTATATATTTGACTCATCTGATTCATAAAAGAGGGAGTGAATATTTTGTTCACTCTACATTTTCAATGTAGAGTGAACCGGTAGTAAAACCGGCGGGAGGCTCTGTCCATCGACCCCGACATCATCAGGAAGCTTCTGTGCATGCACAGAAGTGCGCATGGCCCCATTGCGAACCGGTAGTAAAGGTAAGTAGAACCAACCCCTGTTTAGAAGCTGCAATGCCTCATTTAAGGACATTGTAGTCAGAGATATTTACATTGCTAACTAAATTGGGAGGGGTTTTTTTGCAGCAAAGAGCTGTTTGTCATGATTGTTCACTCAGCTAAATTGAATTCTTCTTTTTTTTTTCTAGATTAATTCCAATTTGGATAGCAGTTATGATATATAAAATGCTTATTCAAAGTTAGAACTATAATTAATAGATAACATTTGACCCTTTTAGGGATGTCCTTAGAAATGAAACAAATCTGAATGTTGGTGCAATGAGCTCTCAACAAATGTTTTAAATAAGACAAAGTTAAGCCAGATTTAAACTATCATAAAGTTGTCTTATTTATGAGTAAACCTCACTAAATTCAGTGAAATTTATTTTTAAGGTTATATGTGTATACAATTTAACTACAAGCATACCAGATCAAAATCATTACAATATTTGTCCATATACATTTGAATAGATAATGGTGCTTCCTGGTTGCTTTGACAGTGCAAAAGGACAAAACCAGATATTTTACCTGTAAAGAACTGTTTTTAAGCAATTCATGCATGTGGTGTTTTTTTTTTTACATGAAAGTTTTTGTTCTTTTAATTTATGAAATCAAATCAGAATTTATTTTTGGCCCACTTTTAAATTTTTGAATTAGGGTGTGATCATCTCTAGATGCTACATAATTATTTGTACAAATAGTATGTCATGCTGTAACCATATTCTATAAATGTTCCTATAAGATTTGATAAGTGGGAAATTATGCAAAATAGAATGCACTGGTTTCAGTGCAAACAAAATTATTGAGATCGTTCCTCATTATGTCAAATGGAATAGCAAGCATCTGGTTAATTCCTTGAGACAGGAATGCCACAATCCAAGTAAA